TATATATATATATATATATATGTGTGGACTCTGCGTTAATTAGGAGTTTTTGATTACAGTCGAATTGTTTTAACTTGGAGAAATAATAACAATCGTTTATATTTGCAGGTACGTATATACGCTGATTCTAAAATCCTACGAGTGTGTGCGCGCCATAGTATATACTTCTGATATATTGATGGATCATCTTTTATTGTTTCTCGCTTCTTTGATCTTCTATGGAATATCTTCTCGGCCGCCGCCGCCGCGTTTGGGGCCAACGTCTTTGTTTTTCTCGAGGAACGTAAACGGGAAAAATCTAGAAACGTGGAAACACAAATATTGCGCATCGGAAAAGAACGCCCCTTTGCAACGATCAGATTATCAGATCTTTCGCTCCAAATACACGCGGATATCCTCTCGCAGATCTTGATTTGTTTCCAAGGAGGTTCCTCTTTTTCTTTTCCTTTTTTTCTTTTTTTTGAATAAGAAGAGAAAAATTACAAATATTAAAAGAAAAGAAATATATTTATATGTGTGTGTGTGTGTGTGTGTGTGTGTGCGCGCACACGTTTATAGGCGCGCGCCGACCGTCGTGACAACCGCGAGAAAAATCTGGCTCAGAGAGCGGTGAAATGCCCGTCTGAGAGGGAAGGAGAACGCGATTAATGCGTTTTTTTTTTTTTTTTTTTTTAGACGTACCGCTCTCCGCCCCGTTTCGGCGGAGCGCTTTTGCTTCTGCACCCTTCTGCTCCGATGCCCAAGTTTCTGTCGTCGTATACACACAGGTCTGTGTGTATGCGTTGGATACACGGATAAAATACATGTGAGCGCGCAAGGGATGATGCAGGCTGCTGAACGAGATGGCAGCGCGAGGGAGACGAGAGGAAAGTGAGCGAGCAAGCCGGGTCGACCGCGCGAATCTCTGCACGTACATATATATATATATATATACATATATATACACGCACTATTCCATGTCTGTGTGTGTGTGTGTGTGTGCACGTTGAGGGTGGCGCGAGCTCTTCCGTGACGTCAGTACTTGGTCGTCAGTTGCGCAGAGAGACGGGGTTGGTCACCTCTCCGTAGCTCGCTACGTCAGAATGACGGGTGGCCGAGCAAGCAGCAACCGATAAAAACCACCCTCTCTGATCGCGGGGCTCTCTCCACGGGTGGGCCAACGGTCTAGGGGTAAACATCGTTCCGCAAACTATTTATTTCGCGCACGAAAGAATTTTTTTTTGCGGCGTTTGGTTTCACGCTGTGTGGCCGTGTGTCTCGCGCGACGGCTAATTTTATATCGTCCCGTTCGCGCAGCATCCCCTTCTGTAAAAACTTACATCCGTTTTCTTCTGCCGCAGAGGGGCACGCGAGCATGGAGCGACACGGAGCGGTGTCGTGAAAGGAGGCGGAAAGCGCGCGTGTCGTCCGCGCGCGTGGTGGAGGAGGATCCGTGGTGACGAAGAAAGAAATTCGCTTCCCGTTGAGGAAGGGAGTTGACGAAGACGACGACGACGACGACGACGACGATGGCGAGCTCGGGCACGGCGGTCGACGGGGTCGGCGACGACGGCACGACGGGCGTGCCGGGCGGCGGGCCCAGGAATCCTCTCACCTGCGGCGTCTGCCACGACTATTATAACGAGCCTTGCCTGCTTTCCTGCTTCCACACCTTCTGCGCACGTTGCATACACGGCCCGCACCTCGACGGGATGATCAAATGTCCCATCTGCGGGTATAGATAACAGTGCGATGAGATTTGTTGTGTCCACGACGAATTGACACTACATTTCACACACGCACATACGCATACACAATACATCGTCAATTGGTATTTGGTTCAGGTTCAGGTTTAAATTCTTTATTTAGTGTGTATTTCCGATACTACTCCCCCGGTTCAACTCTCTTTCTCGCAACTAACAACGAAAAATTTATTTGTCTAATTGTTCTTTCGAATTGCTTTCGACGTTGTTATCTTTCATAAAAAGTGTGTTTTTTTTATACGATAATAAATAATTCCGTGATGATCTGTACACGTACAGGCAACAGACGCAGCTGAAAGACGGAGCGCAACTACCACCTCCCGATCAGCTGATACGCCAACTGGTGGAACTGGCGAATTCGGAGAATCCACCGTGTGCCAATTGTGATAAGCGGGACAAGTCCACCATGTTCTTCTGCACGACATGCGGTGCGTTTTCTTAAGAGATAAACGAGATAGTTTCTTTTTTTAATTTGATGACTTTTGATTCGTTCACGGATGATGATTTTTGTGTGTGTGTTTTTTTTTTTCAGGACAAGCGCTTTGCACTCACTGCAGGGAGCACACGCATCGCGCGAAGATGTTCTCCACTCACGAGGTGGTGCACATGAGCAAATGCGCCAAGGACACCCAACGCCGTTGTTCGAGCCACGGCGAGCAGTACATCATGTACAGCCAGAGCGCCAAGTGCATGCTTTGCGCTACGTGTTTCCGCGACACGCCCGCGGACGCGCGGGTGCACTGCGTGGACATCGAGAGCGCCTGGCAGCTCACGTCGAAGAAGTTGGAGCGCGCGGTTAATTCGATCTGCGAGCTCCAGGCCGGGATTCGAGACGGCGTGCTCGCGCTTAAGTCGCAGCTGGACGAGTTGCGGCACAGTCTTGAGTCCGAGAAACGGGCGTTGAACGCGTTCTGTCAGGGTATGCAAGAAACGATCACGAAGACGCACGCGTACGTTCTCGCGGAGCTGCAGCGTCAATTCGAGACGAAGGAACGGATGGTGCGCACGCAGCTGCTCGCTCTCGGCAGCGCGCTACCGGTGCTTCAGATGCATCTGATGCTGTGCACCATGTTCACCAGCGGCGCGACGAAATACCAGTTCCTCGAGCTGGCGCATCCGATGCTAGAGAGACTGAGCCGCGTAGCCCAGCTCGGCCATCCGTCGCGACCGCCTCTGCTCGGCGCCCACATCAAGGTCAATTACCGGGCCGACTTTGCCCGCGCGCTCCAACCTTACCTGGGCCAAGTGCAAACGTCCAAGACCGCCGAGTCGCTGTACGATCAGACAGTCGGCGGTAGTCATACAATTCAGCAGGAGTCGCAATCATCGCTTCAGGTATGTACATCCGTACGTGGACGGTAAAAAGCGATACCATATATATATATAAGTCGCATGACGGTTGATCACGGTTGATGATCGACGATGATCTTCAGCTTGATCATCTTCATTTTTTCGTATATTACGTGTTTTCTTTTCATTGCCATTCTTACGTGCACTTCCGTGTAAGTATCTTTTACATCATCTTATCGAAACATTTTTACATGATTCGATGTTGTATGTGAGGTGTTTATTAGTAACTACATAGCAAATCAGAGAGAGAGAGAGAGAGAGAGAGTAGAAGATATTCTTTTTTTTGTAGCTTACCAATTGGTCTTCAACCAAAATTTCAGATCGATAAAGGTTTTGATTTGCGAATCGCCCGCTAATATAACGATTAGATGCGAAATCGTAGCTTCGATGCGGAAGAGCGTAAGATCGCACCGTTGCGTTTTACTTCAGGAATTCTGTTTTCCTAACAGAGCAGCAAGACTGCTCAAAGGTTGTCGTCCAAGAGCGGAACTGACATCGGACTGTTCAACAATCACTGTCGGACCTTCGACAGCCAGCTGAAGGAACTGAGTCAACAGTTGACGGCGGTGAAGGAACGTTTGGGCGAGTTGCAACGGGACGTTTCCGTTTTGAAGAGAGCGAACACACCGCCGCTTGGCACACGTTACGATCACGTGGCGAGGGATTGCCGTCTGTTGGAGCAACAGTTGGAGCATCATCAGATAGAACTGGAGCGACTCCGAATCGTCTTCGACGGGCTCTGGGAGGAGCAAGCGTGCAGAATTCACATGGAAAAGGAGATGTTTCACGCGCAGGTAACTTTTTCTTCATTATTTTCGTTCAATAACGCGTCGCTATCTCATTTCTTTGTTGTATGTTTTTCTCACCAAGTTGTTTTTGTTCTCCAGATGAATGATATATTATCGCTGAGGAGCGAAGTGAAAAAGTTGCAGGCGCTTACGCAACATCTCGAGCCATTTGTCAAGTCGTTCTCGATGGGCATTAACGCCGGAGAGGTGAGTTTGGCCGCGGTGGACGCGGCCGACAATCAACATCTGCAGGCGCTGTTGGATCATCTGGCGCGTCTGCAAATGCAAGAGCCGCCGCCTCAGGCCCAAGCGCCCACGAAAGATCATCGTCACCCACGTGGCACCGCTACAAGTGCCGACAATGCGTTGTACATGAAGGGTAAGAACACTTCTTCTCTGGACGTGTTTCTCTTGTGATCTTGTGATTAATTAATTAATTATTTTTTTTTTTTATCTCGATGAAGTAAACTAAAAAAAGAGATGAAAAAACTTGTAATTTTTATGATCAATCTCTTCGCGTTATTTAGACGGCAAAGAAATTCCGACGCGGTGTCGCACGCCATCCGGCGGCGTGGGTGCCGTTCTGGATTCGAGCGGTAACATAGTCGTTTACGGAACGGCCAAGTCGACCGATCCGAAGAGAGGTGTGCTAAGTCAATTGATCGAGAAGGCGCGGACGCAGAAGGACGATCGCAAGAAATCACCGGGCAGAGAGGACGGACGCGATCGCAGTCAGAGCCGGCGATCGCGCAAGTCGCCCGACGGCACGAAACCCAAGACGCCACCCGGACACTCCTCCTCAGGCGGCAAGATGCGATCGCTTTATCGCTCGTTGAAAGGCGGAACCGGCGACACGTCCGCCGAGGCGCTCGATCAGGCGGAGAGATGCACCGACTCGCAGCAGCAGCCGTCGCAGTCGCACATCGGTAAGGATGGAAAAGTCGCAGGATCGGATCGTCGCTTCGCGTGAACAAATATACTGATACATTATGACACACAGGTCTTCCCTTGTAGTCTGACGGGGGCGAAATTTCGGGTTTAGACTTAGAGGCGGCGAACATCCGACCAGCCGATACCATACGTAAAGTTGATCGCTGTTTGCCGCACACGCTTTTATGTACACAACATATATAAATATATATATATGTAAATATACATATTATATAATAAAAGACATCCCCCCCCCCTCTATGAGACGGCCACACGTAACAACAACTATATCACATAATATTTAACCACCGAGAGTAGAGTATCTGGTCGTCGGCGGAAAAATTTTCAGTATAAATCGTGCAACCGCCGCCGAGTCGAAGGAAGAGATCGGGATCCGGGATCTTCTAAAACTTGCCGTGCTTCCCGCAGGAGATGACGGCGAGTATCAACGAATCTCGGAGGCCTCGAGCATGGGCGAGGTGAAGAAGCGCGTGCAGGCGCAAGTGCACGCGGTACAGGCCGAGGATCAGGTGGCGATAACGAGCGGCAAGGTTCCCAAGGTCTACCCGGCGAGCGACTCCGAGGAGCTGTTCTACGGCGACGGAAAAGCGGCGGAAGCTAGGAGGCGACGGCGCGCAAGCTGCGACAGTCTGAGCACGACTGGTTCCGGCAACAGCAGGCGATCGAGCATTGCTGATGGGACGGTAGGTGGTCAACAGTTCGTCGCGCCTGACCTGTGGAAAACACTGGTGGTTTTGATCGGACCGACGTCACGGACGTCGTCGTCTCTAATGCAGAAGCAGCGTTCCTGGGAGACCTTTCCAAGGCCGAAGAGCAAGCGAGGCGGCACAGGCGGAAGCGAGAGGACGGGCGCGTTGTCTCTCGGCCAGCTGAAGAAGGCCGACAGTTTCGAGGGTCACGAGGAGGCTGTGCGCACCTTGGTGGCGGCCGTGCAGGAGACGCGATCCCAGCTGCGGCATCACCATCTTCATCATCATCGTCATCATCGTAAAAGCAAAACGAATTAAATCAAGCGCGTTTTTCTCGTTTTTCTCTCTTTCGCGACTTCTCTTTGCCCCCCCTCCCATCTCTCAAACGCGCGGAGAGAAGTCGCGCAAAGGCGAGAATATAATAATAATAATAATAATAATAATGTCCGCAGATGTCCGAACGAATGTCCGCGAGCCTATATTTGCGTATAAGTAGTAAAAGAGAATTATCGAAAGACTTAAAAAAAAGCCGTGCTCCACGTGGCTCAAGTATATTTGTTATTTATTAGCGACGGAAGCATATATATATATATACATATATATATATATATATATTATATTGTTGCGAAAGAGCCGACACATTCTCGGCTTTTTTTTTCTGACGATTTTGAACATTCTAAATACGGATATGATATAATGAAAAATATAATGGATATATATAAATACATAATAATAATAATAATAATAATAATAAATAATAATGCAAGCAAAAACAATAATAAAAAGATTTTATCTTGTGCGCGATGTTGTTGAGAGATCGTCATCAAAATTCGGAAATTTTTTCTGCTGTACATGTAATATGTAAGAGAAATAATAAGCCGTCGTTTGGGAGGCAAACTTCAGCAAGTGCACTTTCGTCTATATTTCCACATTCGACTAAATATCTCTCCTTCGAAAGAGAGAGAGCGAGAGAGAGAGAGAGAGAAAGAGAGAAGTCGTCAAATTTCTTTAAATATTTCTCCGACCAAAAACGCGTGATATATTTTATAAATTGTCCCCGAATATTTTATATTATGTCTCTTTGTGTCGCAAAACACAAAAACTCGTGACTCTGTTTTTTATAACGAATTTGATTGCACTTGATGATGAGAGCGCCGAAGGTCGGTATCGCTGCTGTATCGTGAGTTATATAAAATCGACGGGAAAATGCGAAATCGTTATTAATTTCGCACTTGTGTGTTCGCGGATACTCTGTTGATACTCTGACCTGCCTGATGCGGTTGACACACGTAGAGCCTTGAGATTAGGAGATTTAAGAATATAGAGAGAGCGTTTTTTCTTTTTTTTTTTTTTTTTTTTTTCAAACAAATCGCGCGCGTGTAACGTACAATAATAATTGCAACGGGAACCGTAGCCGACGTGACACAAAGTAGTTAGTCAAACAGAGAAGAAATCCTGTTTCGTTTTTTTTTTAATTTTTTTCCGCGTATGCGCGTCACATCGAATTTTGTTGTAACGGAAGTTTTGTGTTTGCGCGTATATAAAATTTTATCTCTCCGTTAATAAAAAAAAAAAAAAACACACGAATATAAATTTTTATCGCGCATAGATACGCGAGAGAGATGAGATTTTACGTTGACGAGCGTCACCGGGCCGGATGCATAGTCCAATTAAAAAAAAAAAAAAAAAAAAAAAAAACATTTAGCTAGCATAAACAACACTGCCAGTGAACTTTACATTACGAATTTAATCGACGATACACTCGTTCGCGAAGAAATAGCCTAAACTCGAGCGTTTACTCGTAATCGCCAATCGTATTAAAAAAAAATAATAAAAAATAATAAAAAAAAAAAAAAAGCGTGAATCGATCACGTATTATTGTCGATGATAAGTGATAGTGCTCGCGAATTATTTACGCAAAGCNCGAATGAAATGGGGAGACGAAAATATAATCGGTATTACGAGAAATCGGCTCTTCTCCTTTTGTGAAAGTCAATGCGATTGTTAAATCGTTGTTTCGAATTTAATCGGACGAGAGGATTTGTACAGCCCCCGTCAGCGGGGCTGTAATAAAAAAAAGAAATAAAAAAAAAAAAAAAAAAAAAAAGGGTTACGATTATAGTGAATGTACACTGTAAGCATTGTACGAGAAATATGTCAAATTGCTGGTATAGTAAAATATATACAAGTTATAATAAATATGCATATCCTTGATTTTTTTTACATTTTAGTGTCCCATCTCTTCGCGTCGAAAAAAATAACGCATCTTGCTTTGTTTTCGTTTTTTTTTCTCCTCATAACAATGACGTTTCGTTGCATATCTCGTGTTTACATGTAACGTATATGAAAAAAAAAAAAAAAAAATACTACCTACTTGTTGCATCGCAACAAGTGTAAAAATTGATGAGCGGACGAGAAACGCGAGAGGGAAAGTTTTTTTTTTTCAAAATATTGCTAGAGACACATTAAGTTTCAATTTGTGTAACAATTGTGTAATATCTTTACAGTTCGTATGACATGTTTTCTAATGTCAAACTTTATGTACATTTGTTGATTCGTTATCATGCGTGTATAATACATGTATGCGCACACACACAACTGTAATTATTTTTCTGTTCTTCTTTCTCTCTTCATTTTGACGAATTGTCGAATTTTTCTCTTGCTGATAAAATACCACTAGATAATACCAAATCATCATTATATATAAAAAAAAGATCAAAACACGTTGACCGCCACGTCGCGTTGAATTAGAACCGATTCGCAAATTGTGATTGATTTGTGGAAAGAATCTCGCACTTTTCTTTTCTGGAAATTGGGTTTCGCTCGAACGGGCTGAAATTTTAGGAAATAATACTCGATGCAATGCTGATCAAAAGTTATCGATGACCACAACTCAATCCTATGAGTTCATTTTTGACCTACAAGCGCTCAAAGTTGATAACAGACAATATCATGTATTTCAGGTACTTTAGACAAGAAGGTATATATATATATATATATATATATGTGTATATATACATACGTATATATTTGCTGTGTGCGAGTGTGTAGATGAGCACGTTCGTGCGTTTTTATTCTATATATACATATATATTTCTATATATATATATATATCTATTATAGATATACATATATATTTCTATATATATATATTTTTTCTGTATATATGTATATGTATATATATATATGTATATATTTGCTGTGTGTGTGGATGGGTGGGTACGTTTGTGCGTTTTCATTTGTAAGTGTACGAAACTACACGGAACCACGCAAGAATAAAAACGCACAAACGCATATACATATACCTTCTTATACCTGAAATACATGATGTTGCCTGTTTTCAACTTCGAGCGCTTGCAGGCCAAAAATGACTCATGGAATTGGATCGTGGCAAAGATATAACCTTTGATCAGTATTGCATCAAGTATTATTTTCTAAAAATTTTCATCTTATTTGAGTAAAACCCAATTTCCATGAGAAAAGTGCGGGGTCCTATCCTTGTAAAAAAAATGAACATTTTATTGCGAACCTTCCACACTATTCGCAGATCGCAGTTGTTTATAATTTTCTAAGTTTGCAATTTGTAATTCGTCAATATATATCCAACAGCTTCGACGATATTCAATGATGGTATTATGTTAATTTAATCAATCAATTATGAATAAATTCTCGTAAAACGATTCGTCTTTGAGTTTCCGTTTCAAATATCGTGCTCGGCTGTCAAAAACAAATCAAATACAAATGACAAAATTGCTCGTGACCAGTCGACAAATTTTTATCCCACGTTATTTACCCGCGAATAGTGCGAAAAATTTACACGACGAACAATGAAATTGGGAACAAAAATCTCTTTTCTAATCCAGAATTATCAATGAGATAAAAGTAAGACACATTGTACGGAGGCGATCAACGCGTATTAATCGTTTGCACGCTGAAATCTGCAACATATATATATGTAGTTCCGCGAAGAAGAATTTATATACATGTCGTCGTTACTCATTCGGGGGAAGAATCATATCATACTATTTCCTTCTTTTTCGTTTGATCGTCTTCGCTTGCTCCGATCTTATCGGAAATTTCCTGAGAATATCTTTCCGAGTAATCTTCGATCTCAGGTTGCTCTGTGTTCGCTTCATTGATATCAGACTTTTCTATGATTTTCACTTTTTCGATTTCAGGTTCTTCTTCCGCGTTTACTTCTTCAGGTTGCTCTGTGTTCGCTTCATTGATTTCAGATTTTTCTATGATTTTCACTTTTTCGATTTCAGGTTCTTCTTCCGCGTTTACTTCTTCGACTTGAGGTTTCTGTGTGCTCACTTGTTCTTTGTAATTCGCCATCGTGCTCTGTATGTTACCGTTGTCTTGAATTTTCATGTTCAACAAAGCCATGAGTCCCCAACTGTTATTCTTAGATTGATCACAAGCGGCTAACATGTACGTCGCGTCGCTCGCTTTTTCAATAATGCGATTCACCTCCGAAACGTTCACATTTTTGCAAACATTCAACGACGTCTCGAGAGGATTGTCGATGTGAAGCGGCGAACGCGACGGTTTCCGAATTGGCACGCCCTCGCGGATGCATATACCGAGCGACTGAAAATTGAATCTCGCGTAATACTCAAAGAAACCGTAAAGAAGCGTCTCCAGCGAATCCTGATTCGATTTGTACTTATATTCGGGTGGTAGGTTTTTAATATCTCGCAAAAAGGTGCAGTTGATCCCATCTGTGCTGCGAATGTCGTCAGTTGCTGCAAAAGATAACAACAGAGTGCGGCTTAATATTTTTTGATGTACCGGGGGGGTAGGATTGGGAGAGTTTGCTTGCAATATAATTTTGCTTACTTGAGTACGATCTCAACTGTTTCAAGGACGGCAATATATTTTTCTGTTGCAAGTAAAACAACACTAGCAACGAAAGAGGAAAATTGGTTATCCACGGTCCTGGCGAGTCGGACGTTAACTTCTGATTCTTCGCCCATTTTCGAATAACCGTGACAAGCGGCCTGACTCGCCAATCGATTTCCCCGTATATGTTCAACAGTTCGGACATGTATATGCCGGTCCTGTGCGAAAGAGATTTGACATTTATATATACATGTTTTATTTATCTCTCCGCGCGAAAATGTAATTTACGTGCTGCAACTTACATATTTGTTACGCTTAAATCGCACTCAATATGAGTGTATTCGTAATGAAATTTAATTATTGGCACGCGAGCTTCGAGTATTCTCCGTACATTTTGAATTCCGGGGATAAAATAGTACATACTGTTCGCAAGCATCGCCAGAAATTCCTTCGTTTCCTGCCTATCGTCAAGTTTCAAAGGTTTTGAATGAAATACTAATCTTTTAGAATTATCCTACAAATGTGTCAAACACTTCATTAATACGCTACATATTGATAATTCGATTAGGATGGAAATTTTTTTTTTAATGTAAATCAATCTGTTAAATTATAAAGTTTGTTTACTCTTTCATCAGTCTCGTCGCGAAGAAGAACCAAATCAAGATCGCATCTCTTTCTTCCAAAACCATTGATAGAACTGCCAAATGGCAAAATTCTCATATTTTGAAACAATCTGGACACATACTGTTCTAAATGACAAGCGGTGTGAAACCTCAGTCTTATTTCCAAGTCGGTTAACTTCAGCGCTTCGTAAAGATCTATTATTTGCCCCGATATCTGGGACATAAATTCAAAGTATCAGATTTAAATAATAATCAATTGCAAACTTAAAACCTACAATAGTGTCAATAATATTACCGATTTTGCTTGATACAATTTGCTCGCAATTTCCGTGTCGGTTATATACGCGTACTCGTTCCTTGTAAATTTCTGTTTTGCGTTAGGTTTTTGATTGCGCAAAGATGTGAGTTGTCCTTTGCGAAACCACAATATTGGCGACTTTACCGGAGCTATTATATTCGTATTTACAAAGCAAGCGTTTGACAAAACCTCGCTCGCAGAAGCTACATCTTTAAACTCAATCAAGATATAATTCTGAAAATTTTTTTGTCACGCCGATGTAATAAATTTTGCAACAATATACACAAATATATTATACGGTATTATTAAAGCATATATTGTTACAAAAAAAAAAAAATACATTTTGATACTTATTATAGCGACGTACATGTTGTTTATCTATGTGGTAGTGATGCATGCTCAGAATCTCTCCAAATTGAGCGCAATAATCGTAGAGTTCGTTTTGCGAATTTATTGAATACACTTGCACCAATATACTTCGACATGCCTGGTTTCTCCTGTTCGCGATTTCAACGTCAAATACACTTTTGACTTTTGACGTTCTGACGCCTTTTTGTTCTGCAATTAAGTATACAACAGAAGTATTAAACACGATAAAATACTTTTTAATATTCTCACGCGAATACAAAATACAAACATGCGGTAAAAAAAAATTTGAGTTTAAGAGATAAAAAATTATATTACGCTCAAAAAATTATACTTCTTGTTTATTTAAAAATATATATACTATAAACTCTAAGAGTTCATAGGTTATGCGCTAAAAGTAAATGCCGCTTACGAAATTCCTTGATCCTATCTTGCAATATCGCTGACGATATCGATGTGGCGCGTCCGCGTGATTTTAATTTTATTGCTCCGGTTGAAAATTTGCAATAACAATAACTTAACCAACGCGTGTTCACGTTAACGCGGCCTAAGAGCGCCATTTTTAAATATGTTCTATGTGGTAGCGCTGGATCCCTCGCGTGTTGGCACGTGCGAGTAACATTTGCGCCCTCGCTCGGTTCGCTGAGAGAAGAGAATCGGGGGACGGGACGAAAACTTGGACTGTGTGTGTCGTCATGTATCTTCCTTGTTAAAAAGTTTCCTTATTGGCTGTCAGCGAGTGTCCCGCCAATCCCGCGCGCCAACGCCGTCCCCACTTTGCCTGGTTTCCCTCCCCTTTGCGCAGTAGGATTCTCTTCTCAATTCGAACACGCGCTCTCTTTTCAAATTTGGAGAAAAAATTTTCAAATTCGGACCTAAAAGTCTTCTGTTCTCATATTTGAACAACGACGGCAAGCGCATCCTTTTTCAAAGCAGTTTCAATATTCAAGAAAAATCTACTTTTATTCAAGTACTCTCCTATATTCCGAACGACAGGTTAATTAACAATTTTTTATATTGAGACCAGGTATATATAAACATAGTAATCGTCCGCAACAATGTGCACGCAGCAATTGGTTGCGTGCGACGCCACTTCCGATAAAGTAACATCCGCATAGGAAAAGAGAGAGCGATAAGAGAGCGGCCCGATAACGGCCGATATTTTATTGCGCGCGTTGTGTGAGATGTTCGAGAGATCGTTGGCGAGTCAATTTTCAAACGTGACGAGGAAACGTGCGGCACGAGGATGTGGAAGTTGGGCGCGCACGATCTCACGCACCCGGAGTCATTGTCGGAGAACCAGCTCCGCGAGATCTTGAAAAATGTGAGTGTCGCGTAGGTTAAGGCGTGTACGCGTGTTGACATAAACAAAACGTGTGTAAACTTGACAAACGTCTTTTTATTTCGCATTAATTCTAAAAATTAGCGTCTTTCGTTGTATTTTTGTTAGAAACTTGCTCTTTTTCTTGTAGAAAAAAAAAAAAAATTGATCAAGTTACATAAACATTGGCGAACACACGATGGATTAAAATTAATTGACGTGCAATTGAACTTAAATGCGCGTCGTTTCCATGGGGTGGATTGGGAAACTTTTTTTTTTTTATAGAGCATGGAATAAAAATTTGCTTTTGAAAGAAAAACACGTTTATGTTAATTGGCGATTGCTCTTGTATAAATAAATAATCTTGTATGAATTTGTAATAGTAAGTGTTCGCATAATAAAAGGAACGCTTACGATATTGTATTTGTTAAATTTTAGGTGTATTTCTAACAAAAGAAGTTGTGTCTTCTTTCTCTAATGTCATGTCTGCATGTCTTCCTTTCGCAGAGTTGCATCGAGAACCAGAAGTTCGAGAGGCTGTGTAAAAGCGAACTTGTAGAGATGTACAAAAGAATCGCCATGCCTTTGCCCCAACGGTGTCACAGAAATGCTAACAATTTGGATGCAAAAGCAGACGATGTATCGGAAAACTTTACAAGGTAAATCTTTTTTTTTTTAAATAAAAACAATTGCGGAAATCATATAATACACACGTTTGTAGAGAAGATTTCTGTGTGATCTAACAATATATTATTTGTATTTCTCTCTCTTAGTGACAATCACACTCACAGCTTAACTACAGACTTGAACAAAGGAAACAAGAGAATGTGTCAGTCTCATCTTCAAACTACTTCGGATCAATTGAAGTCTTCTTTTAACGATCAAACATTGATGCATAAAAAAATTCGAATGCATTCTGCGCCAAAAGTAGACAATGTGTACAACGGAATTGGCAAACGTAGATGCAATGAGCAGAATGAGGTACGTGTTATATCATATAATCTCTACCAGATACAAGATATCTCAGATAAGATTATATACACAAGTTTTTTTATATAGTTAACTGATTTTGTCACTTCTCAGAGTATTTCTTTTTTAGAACATTTTTATTTACAACGCAAGTTTTTTTTTGCATACTAGATAATAGTTCGATAATAATGAATGATATTTAAATTTTTAGGAGTTGTTGACAAAAAAACGCCAGAAGATTACGTGGCCATAAAACAAATATATATACGCTTTGTTTCTTTCCTTGTTAGAAATCCAAGTTTTAAACAGAGGAATTGTGAGCGCACAACTTTGTGAATATAACACGGCTAAGCTCACTTTTTTCTCTGGCCAGTATGTAAGAATCAAATTCACATTTTAATCTTTTATCGTAGAAAATAATAATTGCGCGCAAAATGTCGTTCACAAGAGACGTGTGTATGTGAAAAAACCAAAATGTTATAAATTGCGCTAAATGTTATAAAGTTAGATCACAGTTCGCGGAAATATTAACCTTATTGAATTATATTAATTATTATAAGGTTTTTATCAGTATTTAATGTGTTTGAACGACGAAATGTGATAATCACGTAAAGAAATTTATTTTAAGCATGACACAAAACACAGACAGTATCGATTAAGTACACACGCTCTCAGACAAATAGTCATTATCAATCAAGTAGCTAATTATTAAGATCAAGCGTTGCGTTTTTATACACACATTCGTATAAAACAAGCGTTGTATCTGTACAAAAATCTGTACGAGCAAGATGAAATTAATTTCAGTGAAAAATCGCACTAATATTGGCAGCTAGTTATGCACATCCTATATTTTGTTCTCTTTATTCGAACACTAAACAAATTTATGTGTACATATATATATATATATATGTATACACGCTGTGAAGTTTTAATTGAAATTTAAATCAATATTTCTCATGGTATCTTCATTATTTATCGAAGATATATTAATGTAAATTTTTCTGCAATACGTAGATGTAAGTAGCGTTAGATAAATCGTTAGATAACGATGCTTCCTCACTTCTAATATCTTTTTATTATACATCGTATCGATTGTTTTGGTGTATAACTCGTGTAATATGTAAAAAAAATTTTTTGACGTCGTCGCGAAAAATCACAGATTGTCGTCGCGCCTATATACACATGTAGTTTCAGAATTCTATTTCACCCCCCCCCGCATGTATCCAAGTATCGTATGTTTGTTGTTACGTTGAATAAAATTGTACATGACGATTTATATATATGAACGAAGTATAAACGATTTAAATAATATTTAGTTTTTGCGTTAAGTAAAACAGTGTGTGTTTTACATGAGATAAAAAGTAACGAGATGTGTGAACGAATGTAAAATTATATCTCTGCTGTGTAACACGTGTAACACTATTATCACGTGAATCCGCGTGTATGTAATCTGAAATGCTGCTCCAGGAAGAGAGGATGAGAAAAAAAGTATCTCGCAATATATATATATATATATATATATATACGATATTGCGCGTTGCGCAAGACAGCGAGTTCGCAAACTTGTTTCACGGTCATGATCGGCGCTCGTCCTCTTTAATTATACACATACCGAATGACTCGTTTCTGTTCGTGACAGAAAAAAAAAAAAAAAACAAGAGGAGGTATAAGGATGATTCACCTAGCGATGAATTCTCAGTACGTGACTCGTCTCTTCTTGGAAGTGAATATTATTACTTTTAATCCGAACAAAAGTGAGATTGGTTTACATATATAGCATTTCCTGTGATAAGGAAAAAGTGTGTGAGTAAAACGAAAATTATAGAATAGGATTTTAATATAAGAACGAGGCATGAGTTTGTTTTAAACTAATGTTTCAGCCATGTTCCAAAATTTATCGCCATTTCTCCTTCGATATGAAAAATTTACGATATAAAAATTAATTTATAAATGAATATACTAATATAAATTTGGTCATGAGAGCCGTTCGCTAGGTGTTGTGCGGAAATTATACTTGTATATATGTACATATATACGTGTTCACGTGTAAATTTTTTAACACGTGAAAATCGAATTGTAATAACAATTCTAAAATTCATATAGGATGCTATATTTGCATCTCGTATATGAGAGATCCCAAATACCCCCTAATTGAAATTAAATTTATATTGCGAAAAAATTTATTAGTATATTCATTTAGTTTAAAGACTTTTAGAGCCCGAGAAAAATTCTCAGTTTATCATTAATAAATTTATAAATTGTAACTTTTTTGCGTAACGCGACTTAGGCGAGCAAAACAAACTGACGGACATTTTATAGATCTTCGGTGATCAGCAGGAAATTTTTTGAAACTCATCGTCAGCTTTTAAATTTATTCATCGGCCGTGTTAGACCGCATAAGTATTTAGAATTAGATTCCGATTCGCTCACTACAGGGCGCTGGTGTCACATGTGTGTTTACTTACTCGTGAGAGAGAACAGGTAAGTTGTACATTGTTGTTTTGTAACCAAAAGATCTCGTAGAGATTAAGATTCACAACGTGTTTTTATAATTTATCTTATAATCATAAATCTGACATATATTAGTTCTCGCGTATCGCGCGATACTGTGAAGGTAAAAAATGTTTACATGCCAAGTTAATTAATTAATTTACTGCTATCTCACGATGTTTGTTGGATTGTTGAGACACGGTAAAAAAAAACCATCGCACGTGACGAAACTTTGTTCGCAGTTGTGAAACAAGCGAACGAACCAATCACAGGCCAGTATTCTAGCTGGTGTAAGGTAATACTGGTCTGTAATTGGTTGAATTGCTTACGATCTTGCGATTAGGGTTAAAGCTTTTTTCACGTATGTGCAAAATAGAGGTCTGATAATAAAACATTTCGTATTGCAGTCGCTTGTTTTCAAGTTACAATGCCAAGACTAAAGTTCACGAGAGTCAAAAAAAGGGGACCACAATGGCAGGAAGAGGATATGGCGAAAGCGATCAAAGCGGTACGAGAACAAACTAAATCGGTCAAAGATGCAGCACGGTGTTTTAATGTTCCTGAAGTTACACTACGCAGAAAAGCAGCTAAAACGGACGTAAATCTAAATATTTTAACCAACGTTAAGTTGGTCAGAAAAAAACCACTTTTTACTCCTGAGATGGAAAGAACACTGATAGAGTGTTGCCAGTTGATAGAAAAAAAGTTTAACGGACTGACTCGTAGCGACATAAAGCAAATGGCTTATCAAATGGCAATAAAAAATAGAATATCCAATCAGTTTCACGAAAATATGGCTGGAAGTGCGTGGTTGGATCGTTTCGTGAATAAATACAAAGAGCTTTCGGTCAATAACTCAACCAAGCTGTCCAATAAAACATCACTCGTTCGAAATATTAGTTTTAACAACGAAAACATCACAAACTTTTTTGATCTCTTGGAAACTGAATATTCCAAACATTGCTATCCTTCGCATCGTATTTTTAACGTTGGCGAGATCGGTCTCGGCATCGTTCAGTCAACAATTCCACATGTGATCGGGCTGAGAGGAAAGAAAGAGATAACAACTCTCGCTTCTGCGGAGAAGAAATATCTAATGACCATAATTATGTGCATGAGTGCGGGAGGAAATTTTGTGCCTCCGATGATGATTTTTCCACGTACCAACTGGACTAACAGATTGATGAAGGGAGCACCTCCCGGAGCTGTAGGAAAATGTCATCCATCAGGTTGGGTCGAACCCCATCTTTTCGCTTCGTGGTTTTCTCATTTTATTGACTACGTAAGACCTACAGCTGAATGTCCAGCTCTGCTAATTCTAGACGAGCATTTTTCTTATGCAAAAGATCTGGATGTCATCTCAAATGCAAAAGATAATCATGTAAATATATTGTGCGTGCCATCTCACACCTCTCACAAGCTTCAACCACTGGACAGAACGTTTATAGGTCCTCTGAAATCGTATTACAATGAAAATATTAAGCAGGCAATGAGAACGGGTGAGATAGATATCTACGACATTGCGGAAAAGTTTGGCAAGGCCTACCTCGAAGCTCAAACGGGAGCAATAGCGGTCAACGGTTTCAAATATACTGGCATCTATCCGCTAGACAGAAATGTTTTCACCAAAGCTGACTTTCTTGAAGCTAAACATAAAGCAGAAGAGGCTGCTGATGATTGTGATGACAATAGACTTGACAATAATAATGGTGATAATACGCATCCTTCTGGATTTCAAAGCGAAAATAATATAAGGTATGACGAACAGATGACAGAGGAAGAAGTACTAGGTTTATAACAAAAAAAAAAAATTGAAACACAATTCCATTGAATCTTTTTATTTTAAATAAATGATTTTTTTTCATTTTTTTTAAATAAGACTTTGTCATGATCATTTTCTTTTACTTCTTAATTAAAAAGTTGAAAAAAAAAAACAAAAAAAAATGGAATGGTGGAAAAAGAGTTTATAATAAACAATAAGATTTGACTTTTACTTTTTATTGTCTGTTTTATTTTTTATATTACTTCGCTTTATTTTCGCGCGTTGTAATAACATTGCAAAAAAAATCCATTTTTGTTCATACTTATGTTCACTTTTTTATTGTTTTTATAACAAGTAATATTATGAAATGTTTATTAAAATTATTTTGACACCAAGTATGTTTATCGAACCAAAAGCAAGGTACGATTCTACTTCGATAAAAATTTAAATCCATGTGTAAATTGCGTTTAAATATTCTCAGTTCGTCGCGCCTCTCATAATGCGCGGAAGTGTTATTATATACAGCTGCCCATATAAAAATCGTTGGAATTACGCAAGGTGAAAACGTTTGCCTTTGCATAGGGGAATTATTAAACGCGAATTTAACTCGGCTGTTTTGTTTTTTTTTTTGCGCGTTGCGACGATAAAGAAAGAGAAAAAAAAAAAAGATACTCGATGCTAAATCACACGTCATGTCGTTCTTCATATATATCTTTAAATCCACTTTCGAAAATTTTGCCGAACTTGTTGCGGTAGTACACAACACACAGCGTGAAACTTGCAATCACACACGCGTCGTTAAAATTTACAACAATGTTTTTCAAGACATAATTTTATATTTTCGTTTTTAATACATAAGCATTTATTGCGTCTATGTAATTTAAAAAAAAAAAAAAAACATACCTACTCGTTTTCGCACATGGATGACTTGATGAAAGGTGTGCGTGTATTAATTACGCACCGTTAGCGCGTTTATTACAGCGCGATATATGAGTTTACCGTATATATCGTCGCATTATTATTTCGATATAACGCCGTTTATATCGAGAAATAATAACCGCGTGTGTGATCGAGCGTGTGAAACTTTAATATAATACTCCGTCCGACGCTTCGGCGTCCCAGGCACAAAACTTTCTTCTTCCTCGTCGACGCGGATATTTAACAGTCCATAAATCGAGAGCGAAATTTTCGTCGTCGTATCACGTATCCTGCTATTTCGAACGCGGCTTGTGTTTTAATGAAGAAATACGATGGCCCACCCCTGTCGTACCTATATAAATACGTCTGTTCTTTACTCGACTGAACGTCAGTCTTGAATGTCTTGTTCGCGATACGTTTATCGATCTATAAAGACACAAATTGGGCACAAACAATGGCTGTCAATAAGGTACGTTATAAAAGATTGTATATATTGGATATGTGGACTCTGTATTATATATATATATATATATATTTTTTTTAAATTCTTTTTACTAATATATCTGACAATATTACAGTCAACAATCGTCTTAGCTGCGTTAATGCTCGCGACGTACGAGGGTGCGGCTGTTCCATTGTTGGCTTTACCATCTCTACCAGCTATTCCACCTGCTCCGGCTATTCCAGCTATCCCAGCTATTCCAGCTGTTCCATCTATTCCGGCAGTCCCAGGAGTTCCCGCTGTTCCAGCTGTCCCAGTTGTGCGAACTCTTCCAATTAACAAGCTCGACACGAGTTACGATCCCCATCCTCAGTACACTTACGCCTACGACGTTCAAGATACGCTGACGGGCGACGCTAAGAGCCAGTACGAGAGCAGAAACGGCGATGTTGTCAGCGGTAGTTACAGCCTTATCGAGGCCGACGGTACCAGACGAATCGTCGAATACACCGCCGATCCGGTTAACGGGTTCAACGCCGTCGTGCGACGAGAACCCTTGGCGGTGGTCAAACCTGTTATCAAGGTCGCCCCGCCACCGCTCATTTAACAACCTTGAACACTCTAGTTTTTAAATGATATTTTTTTGAAGAAACAACTAGTCATATTTTTGTACATACATATATCGTGTCACAATACTTGTTGTGGAAATGAATGTTGTCAGCGTGCTGTCTTTTATTAAAGATTGATTTTTACACATTGTCATAATATATACAACTGTGAATTTATTTTTTTGATCCCGAACAACTTCTTTTTTTTTTTTTGATAGTCGCGTAATCTTTTATATTATTTTTTTACACGTGTTAAACAATGTTACGCATTTCTTGCAACGGACTTTTGTTTGCTCGACAAATCTGTTTTTAATTTACAAAAATAGTTTTTAATTTATAATACAGATGAAACAATGTCGCACCGTGAGATAAATGTGTAACGCTGTCGGATTATGTAATATAAATTTTGTGGAATTGATTTCACGTCGTAAGGCGTGAGTGTAATATCGCAAAAGAGATTTTGCAATCGCACGTGTATAAATGTTACATATGTATAATATATATATAAAACTTTAAGAAACATAATAACAGCTGTATTTTTATATAATTAAAATTTATAATATAATTATATATGTAATAAAAAGCGAGTGTCACAGAGATTTATGTAAAAAATATGACTGTATAAATATATATATAAATGTAAAAATTTTACGTTTTACATTTATATACAAATGTAAAATGTAATATTACGTTTTACATTTATATATATAAATATAAATATATATAAATGTAAAAAATATTACATTTTTATTTACAAATGTAAATTACATTTTACATTTGTATATAAATTTATATGTAAATGTAAAATGTAATATTACGTTTTACATATATATATATATATGTGTAAAAAATATGACTGTATAAATATATTTTTTTAAATACAACGACATTTGCTTTTTAATTTTTTTTAATACAAAAATTAGAAGAGATATTTGTTGAGACACACTGTTTATTTTATTAATTACATTTCTCTCACGGCGAGTAATATTTCTGCTCGACTCGTTGCGTACACACGCAAAAAATACGCGCCTGTTGCGCGTTACATAAAACAATATGACTTGTAGAAAATTTAATTTACAATTTAATTTAATTTACAATTTAATTTAATTTACAATTTATTTCAATCGACGTACGCATCTTCTCAAATCTAATGCTATGGAAAAAAAAAAAGAACCATGTGCTACGAAATAGAGGAAACGTGTGGAGCAATAATGACGATAGTGATAACTATAGTCTAGATGCGTCTAGTTAATTAACGCAACAATACACGTCGGTTAGCGGGACTCATTGTCATTCCTCTGCTGAATGTACAATAGAATTCAGCCGATTGCGGGGATTCGCAAGAAGCGAACGTCGGTCGTGCTTTCGTCGAACGACCTTGATAGACGTCGCGTCTGGTTATATTCGACATATTGGCACACGACCCGGTACGTACGTGCCTAGCGTGCGACAAACGTATTTCGGTTTATCAATCGCTCGAGAGGCGTCGGATTTTTAGGTGCAACGTTTAGGCGCAATGCATTTTAAATGTTAATTCTTTCCAAACGTACGTTTCTCTCTCGAAACTATTCTTTTAATCGATCGAGTGTGTGCTATCGATCTTCGGAAAGAGAACAGAAATACAAATATCGTAAAATATTGAAAAAACGTTAAAAGATACAAAAAAAAGTAAAACTACAACGGAGAGAAACATATGTCTCCCATGCTTCCATGGGGGTAATACCATCAATTCCCGCGGCCTTTTTCATCTTTGACTCTCTGACCACCTTAATTGGAGAAACATATATCGTCACTCCCTACGTATAATTACATAAGTGTCACATATGGGATTTTCAGTTTATTGCATAGTGACACTCAGAAAGTCATGTTTTTTGTGGTCACCAAGTATTAAAAAAAAATATTCATAAGTATGGTAAAAATTTAAAACCGAAAGATCCCTTAACTAGGGAAACTATATGAAGCTTCAAACTTTTAAACTGCTCTCCTCTAAAATTTGCGTTTTGGAGTTATGGGATTATACGTAGGGAGTGACGATATGCTGTAATAAATGCGTTGTGTGTGTGTGTGTGTAGCTGGAGCTAAATTTTGTTTCAATATTTAAATTATTATTCAGTCGATCTTTTAATTGAGCGAACTACTCGCTATATCGCAGATTGCATCTCTCTTGTAGTCCCAGAATTGACGTGCAAGAAGTTTTTTTTTTCTGAGATTCCAAGTGTTATACAGATTCTCAACTTTTGCCAATATTTGTTCGTTGTATGGTAGTTGTTTAATTTGTTTTTCTTTTTTTTTTTTTTTGAATCAATCTTTTATTACACGTGTACCACTTCACGAAAGTCTTCGTTAATTCTAATTTTCTGAAAAAAAATCGCGCGTATCCGAACTGTAAAGAACAAAGAGAAGCTGGGGGGGGAGAAAGAAACGTGATAAGACAATATTACCCGTAGACCGTGTTGCGCGCGATTCCTCTCTCGAGTTTGTCAAACTCGAGGTTTCGAGCGGCACGTCTTCGCGGCATTATTGACATCCAAGTCGCGTGTACCCGCGGTCGGCGGTGATATGAAGAAACGTAGTGAGCCTTTACGATACGCATTGGTACGATCGCAGGTTGAACATTGGGTAAAACATCGCGGACCCCCTTCGTACATCGCAATGATCATCGCGGAGGTCAACCGCACACGGGAACTCCGAGAAGACGAGGACGGGGAAACGAGCGATCGAAATAAGGAGACGAAGACAGAGAGAGCGTTGATTAGGTGGGGCGCGTGAACGCGGGTGGTGTTGGCGCAAGTTTCGTCTGCAAGAAGCATCATCGTCGTCGGATGAACAACGCGCGTATAAAAGTACGGACGATTTTACCCCGAGGCATCAGTCTTCTGGCGATCTTCTTGCAAACAAACATGGCCGGCACGGTAAGGGAAGCTGGGACTCTGATTCGAGAATCGATAGAAAAATTTTATTTCTAAATGCTCTCTCTCTCAATCTTGTAGAGTGAAGTGTTATATCTGAACATCTTGAAATATTAAACTCGTCTTTGTACAATTACGCTTGTCAAAGAGATAAAATATATTAACAATATTATATTCTAAGAAACAATATTTTATTANAACGGGACTTATAGATTCTCACACAAAATTGTCATCGTGCGTGCAAATCAACCAATGCTTATACATTCTTTATATATATATATGTATTTAAAAAAGATTTTAGTATATTATATTCTGAGAGAAGACACTAATAACGCAAAACTATTTGTTTAGCTACGATATTGAAAAGTTTAAATTTCCTAAATTCGACAAGTTGTCCATCACTAACAATAATCAATGATTTATCGATGAATTTTAGCTCTTCTTGTTTTTGGGACTGACGGCACTCGCACGAGGAGCCGTGGTAGTACCCGCCGTGCCAGTAGCAGCGCCCGTGGCGGCACCCTTGGCGAAACTGGAGGAATTCGATCCGGCGCCGCAGTACAGCTTCGCGTACGACGTTCAGGACTCGCTGACCGGTGATTCCAAAGCCCAATATGAGACTCGCAACGGCGACATCGTGCAAGGAAGTTACAGCTTGATCGAAGCCGACGGCACGCGTCGCATCGTCGAATACACCGCCGATCCGATCAACGGTTTCAACGCGATCGTTACCAAAGAACCGGCGAGCGCCGCAATCGCGAGGCCTCTTCTGCCGCTTCGACCGGCCGCGTTGACGCCGGTCGCCGTACCAGCTGCACCCGCTGCCGCGGCCGCCCCGATACCGTCTATACCCGCCGTCGGACCCGATTCCGATGTTGAGGTGGTCGAGGCGCGATCGGGTCCCTTGAGATCATCGAAACAACCAACGACGCGCGAACAGGAGCTCCAACGACAGCAGTTACAGCAGCTGCGCCAGCTCGAGCAACAACGTCAGCAGCAGGAACAGCAGTTGCGTCAGCTGCAACAATTGGAGGAGCAACAAAGGCAGTCGTCGAGGTTGCAGGTTCAGCAAAGACAGCAGCAATTACAGTCCCGACAACGCCAGCAGCAGTCGCAGCTGCGAGCGGAGGACCAACAACAGCTGCAACAACAAGCCAACGTCGCACCTGCACGAAATATCGCCAGTCAGGAGCAGCAGCAGCAACAACAGCCGATCGCAACCGCCCAATTGCTCCCCGGAGCTGCCAGAGCGATCGCCACGTACCCGGCTTACCCTTATACCGCGTACAGCGCCGCGTACTCTTCGCCGTTCGCCTACGCCGCACCCCTTACCGGTCTCGCTTACACTCCCGCCGCAACGCTACCGTAAAAAAAAAAAAAAAAACAACTACTATCTTTAATTAAAATTCATATTCACTTTGAGTAACCGCCACGTGTCGTGCGACACGTTTGTTTGTACTGTAATTTCGACAAAAAACTAAAATAAATTGTTTGCCATGTGTTACTTTATTCGCTGTCGTCTCTTCTTCTCGATCGTTCATTCCGACGCGATTGAAATTTACGACCAATTTTTAGAGAGAGTGCGTGTGCGCATTAGTAAACTAACAAAAAAACCTATCACGAACAGGTTCCTTTCGTCTGCTCTAGAAAACTGTAATAAAATGCGACCGACCTAATCCGCGGGGTTATTACGTCGTGTATGTACGTTGCGTGGGTGCGCGCAACAAAGTAAAAGTTAGCTCCAAACGCGGGTCGTGTCAATGTCGTCGACAAATCGATCGAACCCGATCGCGAAACCGTCACGTCGACACAACGAGATCCGATTTTACATATGTGTGTGTGTGTGTGTGTGTAAGTGAGCGAGCGAGCGAGTGATGGTGTTACGCAAGTTTTTGGAGCCCGTTGTTACGCGTGCGGGTTCCCGCTGTTTGCGCAACAAGCCGCCGCGCACATAAGTAGACACATGTGCGCGCACGTAACACGACCTTCGGCTACGCGCCGCGTATTATTTAACTTCTTTTTGAAGAATGAAAGAAGGTTTTTTTTTTTTTTTTTCATTACTCCGTGCCGACAATCAGTGATCGTAAGACGATCACTTTGATGAATGTCCTTTGTTGCGCGCGCGTCTCTCTTTCTCTTTCTCTCAAAGTCATTTATCAAACATTTTATTTTGACATCACAACCAAAGTTGATTAATGTAATTAAAGTACACATATATGTGTATATTAACGCGCGACGTCTTCATAATCTATCGTCAAACTAAATTTAGCCGTTGCTCTCTTCGAAATATCTCTACACCTTGGCGGAAACGAGTAGTAAAACCCAACGCGAGTCAGACGCGCGTAACGTTGCAACCTGTTTGACGCGCGTCCGATCAACGGGCGATACGTACCACTTCGATAGCTTGTGTGTGGGACAAATTTCCGACACGTACGACGCACAAAGTGCGAAGCAAGGATTTACACACGCACCTATATAATTATTAAATTTTATTATTATTTTTCTGTGTAAATATTATCGCTCTACTCTTAAAAAAAAATTGAAATTTTACCAAACGTCCCACGTGTTGCTTTCAGAAAAAAGTGAAAAGTTGTTCTTTCCTCTTTCCTTTTCCGAAATTAAGACGAAGCGCGAGTAAAAACACAAAATAATTCTCGCCGTCGGCGAGATATACAGTAATAAGGAACGAGAGAGAGAGAGAGAGAGAGAGAGGAACATATTCGACTTTCACCGAACAGAAAACCGCACAACCACACGGCCGTCAAAGAACCGCGCCCAATGTCACTACGCGCGAGGTATATACTTCGCGCGCGTGCGGTAATCGCGCGCCGTATTACGTGCGCAACGATTCGCTTTTTAATAGAGGTCGGTCGGAATCCCGTAATTTGAACGGAACGAACAAAATTACCCGCTCGCGGGCAAGGAGAGCGCGCTTCGTGTGTTTTCTTATCTCGGATTACGATAATAAAGACCGTTTCGACCACACTCGTTATATCTTCGCTTTGTTCGCGTAATTTTTCAATCACCTCAATCGCACGCACGTGCGAATCATCGATCGAGGAGAATCATCTGCTCGGAGAGGAATCGATCGCAATCCCTCGCCCGTGCGCAATTTAACGCACACGCCGCGGAAGAGAGTCGAACGTTTTCCCTCTTCCCCGAGTTCTCTCCCGAGAAATTTCACATCCCGGTCAGTTGAACTTTTTGCCATTTATAAATCAACGTTCGGTGAGAGATTCTCGCACGTAGAGTGCAAACATTGTGATTTTTCGTTTGCGCGAGAAACACGAGATTTTTTTAACACAAGATTTTTTTTAGATTTTTTTAATTTTCTCCTTTGACACGCCGCAATTTCTCATCGGTGCCCTCACGCGCCTATATAAAATCGAAGGCGCACTAACAAAGCAAGTAGTTATTCCCGTCCAAGGTGGTCCACTGTTTAACGCGAGCGCCTGAATTGTCGAAAAAAAAAAAAAAAAAAACACGAAAACGAAGAAACGAGGTGTCTTTATGTCTTATATAAAAGCATAAACTTGTAAGAGTTGCGTGTCGCAAAGAGAGCGAGAACGCGCGTGAATAATAAATTAGTGTCCGCAAAACAGGACACTTTTTTTCCGATCGATCGATTTATTTACGACGAAAATTCTGATTGAAAAAAAAAATAAAAAGCTATCGCGCGATCGTTAGCTACGCGCGTTCCCTTTAACGGAAACATAAACTTGACAAATTTATTTTGTCACTTTTTTTTGTCATCTCGCGCGTAATGAGACTTAATTAACAATTGGCATATTCTCGCGCGCGTACAAGATCTAGAAACTCTGTCGCGCGTGTGTGCGTGTGTGTGGAAGTCACCGCGGATCTCAAGATCGAGATAGGGAAGTGAGAGAGCAAAGTCTGTCCGATTTAATGCAGAAAATTGCAGACTGCGATAAAGACTGCGGTGAGCGGACAACTCGGTAAATCTCGATGTAACGTGATCGCGATTTCCGAAATTTGCGTATCTAATTGCCGGTTTCGCCGCGGCGCTCTTGCAACAACAGATTAATTGATATTTGATGTCTCTCTTTTCCGGTTTTCAACGCGAGAAAGAAAGCGTCTCAAATTACTAAAGATTGAAGATCAATTATTTTTCACTTCGATAATCTTCAAGTGAAAAAAAAAAAAACCTAACAACTCGAGAGTACGTTGTTAATTTAATTAATATTCGTATTCAGGCGGAGGCGCCTGTGTAAACGTGAAGTCGCGCGTCAACGTGACGCGCGATCTGAATAATATTTTAACAATGAAAAAAAAAAAAACAACCTTTAATACGCAAAGGCAATTAACACTGCGTGTAACGGGGGGGAAAAAAAAGAAAGAGCGTGGCGGAAAAATGCAACAGTAAAAAAAAAAGACAACAAAACCAAAGAAGGAGTGGAACCGGACATGCGAAGCGTGGAACAGTGACATGTCCTTATTTCACTTCGGCCTTGGGAAGTCGTTTCAGAGCCTCCAGAATGTGATCAATGACCTTGATATTAATATATTAATAAACACAGAGAGAAGTAGAAGAGCGCGTACAATCAAAGGTCGTTTTATTCTATTATAAAGCGGAATCGCGATCGAGACCGGCGGTCATTTGGCATAATTCCGCGCAATATCGATCGCTTCTGATGATGAAATCCAATAACCGATCGAGATATATATTAAAGCGAGCACCGCTCGCACACGTGCTTCCCGAAAACTGCGAACGCGGTCCGCCCTGTGAGTTGCACAATATAAGATTTAAATCGAGGCCCGCCCGAGAAATTTGAACGCCTGTCTCCCATGGCAAGTGGATTCTCGTGGTGGCCGACGAGGAGAGGCAAGAATTTGGTGGCGCAGACGTAATTCTTTCTCCTACGTTTCTCGCACGTTTTTTGCTCGCGATATATATCGTTTGTTTCAGGTCTCGCGAGTTTGAATCACACACACGTGCGTGAAGTATTTAAAAAAATAAATAAATAAATAAAATTGAACACGCGCCGTTTTCCTCTCTCTCTCTCTCTCTCACTTTTTCTAATTGTAAAATTAACTAACAATTGAGATTCCAGGAGATTCCAGGTTCGACTCTTGGCTGAGGAGTTTTTTTTTCGCAATATTTTAAAATTAATTAGGGGGGTATACGGGGTCTCTCATTATATGAGAGATGCAAAATAGATTAGCATCCTATGTGATTTTTAGGATTGAAATTTCAATCCAAAAATTCACGTGTGAGATTTACATGTGAACACGTATATATATATATATATATTAGGTCTACCGGAAAGTTCTGTCCGTTTTTGGAATAAAACAAAATACAAATTTTTCTTAATTTTTCAAAAATGGGATATACAAATTGCCCTCACGCTGGCAAGAAATCATTAATAATAATGGCAATTATATCATTTAATAAAGTTTATTGGTAAGAAAAATTTATATTTTGTTTTATTCCAAAAACGGACAGAACTTTCCGGTAGACCTAATATATATATGTATATATACACGAATATTACCGCAAACCCGAGTCGAAATTTAGCGTCTACATTGTGAGCCTCAATTTTTCTTTTTTTATGTAGAAGTATAAGAGAGAAAGTAGATCCTACTTTGACGCTGCTGTATACGTCCGAAATTTTCTTTTTTTCCTGCTAAAGTTTTAAAAGTAGGGTTCAATTCTCAGATCAGGACTGCGCATTGCAGGCTCTGATAGGCTCAAAGTAGGAGTAAGAAAAAAAGTAGATGCTACTTTGACGCCGCTATACGTCCGTATAATTACCTTCTTTCTTGTAAAGTAGGGTTTAAATTTCGACTCTCGTGGGAAAACACATTCAGCGAATATATATATGGCTCTTATTGACCATATATTCACATATACGTTAACTAACAATATTAACAGGATAAAATGTAGAATAAAGAATTAAGCAATCAAAGTATAGAACGTACGCGCGTGCGATCGAATTGGCAAAGGATGACTATTTTGCATTCGCAAAATCGCGGTGTTTTTTCCTCGTTGCGCGCGATTCTTCTTAAGATTCGATGCAACGCGACTGCACTTTTGCAATCGGTCCCGATCGAGACCGGCGAACAAAAGTGGAGCTTTGGCCGCGCAAGGATCGCGCGCGCGAAGGAGGTTCAAGCGTCGTCGGGGCGGCGCTTGAGAAAGGACGAGAGCGAAAAGCGGAGAAAGTGGGTCAATTCTGGCGAACCAGGGGGACAGAATTGCAAGATCGAGAAGAGAACAACGAGAGCATCGAGCGGTGGGGACACGCACACAGAGACGACGGTTTTGGCTTGTGTGCATGCCTCCACCGCTCTCGATGCTCTCGTTGCTCTCTGCTCGATCTTGGAACTCCGCACGGGGGGACCCGCCAGAAATAGCACGACACGCCGCGATATTACGCACGAAAGTTTACCCCCATACGTCAAGGGCACGTGCGGTTCCCCCGTTCGAGAAATTTTTCAGCGCCGCGTGCACAATCAATCGCGCGACCAAGGCGCGTTTTATTTTTTTTTTTCGATTTTTGTTGATCAAAGAATTTGAAATCAAGTCGAACACATTTGTGCGAACATTTAATTATTTCGTCTAGATAAAAAATAACGCGCTTGTAAATATTTTTTTCTAAAAACGATCAAACGGTGTTTACGCGTCGTCCAAAATTTTTAATTGCCGATCAACTACTACACGAAAAAAAAAGATTTGCCAGAGAATAGCAAAAAATTAGTTACTTACATGGTCAGCAAAAAAACATTTGTTAAGTTTGGCAAAATTTTTGTTTCGCCAACAAAACATTTTGTTGATGAAACAAAAAATTTCGCAAGGTCAACCATTTTTTTTTTCTTGCTGACCGTGTAATAGCAAAACTTTTTTTTTCCGTGTAGGTGATCGGCAAAAAAACTAACAACGAGAATCGAACTCAACGTGTGAGAACGCGCGTATCGTAACGCGCAATCCGAAAATTGAAATTTACGTTTCGCACACACGTGTCGACACGCGTTTATTCTGAAACTCCGTTTCTTTCTCCATTTCTCGAAACGAGAGAAGATTCAATTGTCATAGAAGCGGAGAATTAAAAAAAAAAATTACGCAACGCACAACACTTTCATTATTTCTCTTATTGTTACGCGATGACGAATTTGCGTTGCGTGTAATAACGAGAATCGCTATAAAAAGTCGAATAGCGGCGAATTCCGAATCGCGCGAGTATTGTATAATGGCGCGTCGTAGCATTTAATGCGTGCGTTCGGGCAAAATAGATTCGGATGCTCAAACGCGACACAACATCGAGAAGTTTCAAAACGCCGCGTCGTGAATTTTATATCAGCGTGACGACATAGAACAATATAAGAATTGCAACGGCGAAGCGTCTGAAATGTCGCATATATGACGCGCGCGCGATTAGCACATCACGTGTGCGTGTGTGGGGTAATCGTTCGATATTCTAGATTCCGATTGCCTTAATCGTTCGCCTTTCTTTTTTTTTGCTAGGGAAATTTTTTCCCCGTGCAATCGCGTTGCAAGAATATTAATAGGCGCGCGCGCGCGCGCGCGAGATTGTTCGTTTATTTAAGGAAACGTGAAACTCCTCATCATCCGGTCTCTTTCCTTTTGTTTTTACAAAGTTAACAACACGCTACGATACGTGTAATAAAGCGCGTGTAATAATAACGTTTACGAAAACGTGATGTTTGTATGAAAAAAAAAATTTACAACATTAAAGAAATTGAAACCCTGTGATCGCAAAGTGGCACGCGAGAAAAAATTGATTGCAATAAAATTGCGGCTTCTGACCAAATTAAGTCAATTTTATCTCACAAGGTATCTCTCAAGGTGATCAATACCTCGCGATCATAAACTTGCGTACGTAAAATACATTTGCAAGAATTAACCTCATTTACATTTAATTAAGGCGCATTTTGTATTTTCGTGTTTTTTTTTTTTCAGACTGCAAATGAAGCGATGATACAGATAGATGTAAAAGTTGTACCGCAAATTACACGCATTAACAGCATAATTTTGTTGCCATCTTACTTTTTCCTCCCGATCGTTCTTTCTCAGTCAGTTTTTAATCGGCAGTCGAACCGCGTGCTTGTCGCGTGCAATTATTCATATTCGCAATTATACGGAGCGGTACATCGCCAAACACGAGGTTCTCTCGCGAAGAGTATCGTGTTTAATTTTGTAATCACAAACTTTGCGTGCGACACGAGATATAAATTATTGTCGAGCGATTGAAAAATTGAACGATGTTGTTGCGTTACGTTTACATACAATATAAATTATTTTGTTTTGCAAACACACACGGTGTGTTACGCAACACAATACATGTATATGTGAGTGCACGTGTGCGCGTATTCGTTTAAAAAATATGAATATTTATAAATAAATAAATGAGAACAAAAGAGAGAAGTGAATATTGATGAGGTTTCGTGGTAAAAAATCGAGTAAACTTCACAGATATACGTATATAATTCTTTTAATCAGTCACACAGAGACAAAGAAACATACATGGTATAAAAATAAATAAAAGTTCGGCCTGAGTCGACAACATGAGCTGGTGCGTTCAACGCGATCAGTGGATGTAGGCAGCTGGAGCGGCGTAGGGAGAGGCGTAATGAGCGGCGTAGGGAGAGGCGTAGTGAGCGGCGTAGGGAGAGGCGTAGGAGATGGCAGCGGGTGCTGCGGCGAATTTAGCGATGGGAGCTGCGTGCGCGGCGTACGCTACGGGCGCGGCGACGTGAGCAGCAGCGAGATGAGCGGTTGCATAGGCGGGAGCCGCCGCGTAAGCGGGAGCCGCCGCGTAAGCGGGTGCCGCCGCGTAAGCGGGTGCCGCCGCGTAAGCGGGAGCAGCCAACTTAGCCACGGGGGCGGCATAGGTCAGGGGGGTGGCCAGCTTGGCAACTGGAGCGGCGTAGCTGGCGTAGGCGAGAGGAGTCGCCAATTTGGCAACGGGGGCGGCGAGCTTGGCAACGGGGGCGGCGTAGGCGAGTGGTGCAGCGTGCGCGACGTGGGCAACGGGAGCAGCGGCGACCGGGGCGGCGGCGACGGCGGCGGGTTCCTTGCGTACTACGGCGTTGAATCCGTTGACCGGGTCAGCGGTGTAGTCGACAGTGCGCCTGGTTCCGTCAGATTCCAAGAGGGAGTAGCTACCCTGGACGAGGTCGCCGTCGCGGGTTTCGTGTTGGCTCTTGGCGTCACCGGTCAGACTGTCGTGTACATCGTATGCGTAGCTGTATTGAGGGTGCGGGTCGTAGTCGGCATCAACGGCTTTAGCCACTACTGCTTTGGCGACTGGCGCTACGGCCACCGGAGCGGCGGCGGCGTAAGTCAGAGGGGCTTGCGCAATGATACCGGCGTTAGCGGCGGCCACGAGGGCGGCGAAAGCAACAAACTGAAAAAAAATAATTATTAACAATTATAGACAATTCTTATTCAACAATTTAAAATTAATTTAAAATTAATGCAAAGTTTGCTCTTGATTTCTTTTGATATATAGTTTAGAAAAATGCGCAAGAACAAATTGCAACCAATAGGTAAGTCACTTGCAAGTTTTGCACACTATCCAAAAATCTCCTTAATGATTAAATTCTCATTAGAGTCGGTCTAACAGAGACTCGATAGATCCTCTACCCACCTTGAATGCCATTGTCGAGTAGATTTGGTTAGTTTGAATCGGCCAAAGCGAAACTGATGATGTGTAGTGTTGATCGTGGCCGCTTTATATACCCAGTGGCCTCGGACCGTCACCGTGTGGATCCCCACCCCCGGGGTCTGGTGCTGTTCTGGGGCTTTGAAAGTTCTTCGTCGTTGACATCGACGTGCCGGCCGCACTTGAACTTGGCCGACGCTCGAACACACCCTCGCTTTCGAACAATCGCGAACACTTAGAAGAATCTATTGTGGCGAGCGGGTTTTTTTTTTTTTTTTTTTTTTNTGGCAAAAGCGGAAGTAGCACGAGATGACTTTATTCTAAGACGAGCAATGATGAGTAATAATAAAGTATTTTTCGTACAAATAAAAATAAGAAAAATACATAAATACGTTTTTTTTTAAAAAAAAAAAAAAGACAAGTTAATTGTGCGCGCACTAAATAAAGTTGCGAATTTTTTATTACAAGTTGCGTATCTTTTGTATTTATTAAATTTTGTTAACGAACAGTGTTGTTAGTGAAATAAATAGTTTTATAATTTCAAAAGTATTTTTTTTCACAAATAAAAAGGATGCTTTGAAGATACCGGAATAAAAACTAGTTGTAGTTGATAAATTTTATACGGATCATATACGCTTACGCGTTTTATCTTTTGCGGCAATTCGCGTACATTTCTTTACGTGCGTCTATCAAACGTAATTGCTTCGTGTAATTGCGCAACGCTTGTCTGTGAATTACCGACCGTATCAAACGCCGCTTCTCGCGCGAAGACCTTGATCGGCTTTCTCAAAAATTGTTATAAAAAAAGATCCACGATCAAATCGGATCAAAAAGCGCATTTCATTTCTTTCTTCATCAACATCGCGCGAATAAAGATTTATTTCTCTACATTTTCAAAAACATTTATATCCGCATAGATCGATCAAGTCTCGAGGATCGTCGCCTTCCTTGTCGCGCGACTTAACTTAACTTTCCAGGCATTCCGATATGCATGTCAATCTGCCAATTGTGTCACGAAGGACGAAATACACCTTCTTGTTACATCATATCCATCTAACGTTGCCGAGACTCGTGCGACCGTCAAAAAAAGTGAAAGAGATAAAAGAGAGAGAGAGAGAGAGAGAGAGGGAGCGAGAGTGAGAGTGAGAGAAAGAAGTGGAGCACTTTCATAAAGAAATAGGTGGGCCGCCCGAAATATCGCGCAGCGATCGATTGCGGTCCGCCGCCGGGCATTATCAGCCTCGTGTCAATCGAGAGGCTCCGAGATTTCGCTCGTCGTATCAAGTTTTGTCGACGCTTCGCCCGCCTCTTGGCGCTGCCCGATCCGAGATATCTCACAATTGAAACAAGTGTGAAATCACACAATTTTGGCCGAATATAACTCAATTTACTTCGAGCGCGTCAAAAAGTCGCGCAAGGCCTGAGACACGCACACGCCATCCGGAAATCCTGACGAAAAAAAAAAAACGCGCTCGCACAAAGACGGTTGTTGAAACATTCATTCATTTAAACGTACGAACGCAATTTTTCGCAACGCGAAAAGAAGCGATTTTTTCTCTAAGAACTAGAGTTTTAAATTACTCAATTCGCGTAAACTGTAAATTAATTACAAACAGCTCGTGTCTTTCTCATCATTCGTTTTTTTTCTCGCGCGGGAAGATGTATTTGAGAAAATTAATTTGCGAATTAACGAATTTCGACGGTAATAATTGAAGGGTTCTCCTTCAAGTCATAACTTTAAGCGATTTATCGCTCGTTCGCTCATTCGCAATTGCGCGCATTTTAGCGTCTCAAGTACGTTATGTTATAAATGCACAATCCGTGTCATCGCGCCTCCCGAGAAGACACACGCTCCGCTCAACATTCTCCATATAAGGAACAAATTTACGAGGTAATATAATCGCAAATGCAACCGACCGCATTTCATTATCGCGCTCGGAAACAAGTACAGAGAGAGAGAGGGAGAGAGAAAGGAGGAGAGAGAGAGAAAAATGAGCAGGAAGATCTTGTCGACTTTGAAACTCCGACCGATTGCAGGGAAGAAGGTCGCTGGAGGAAATCTACGCGACCAGATATAAATTTATAGGCATGCACCCGGATGACCCGGACATTGTAACAAAAAAACCTCTCGCCTCTCCTTTCTTGCGCGCGTGCGTTACCTTACGCGCACAATTAAGGGAAAAACAAAAAAAAAACTGCGTTAATTCGGATTCCCGCCGCGCGTGTCAATTTATAAGTATCGAGACAAGCTTGTCGCAATGACGAGGTCGAGACGTGGATTCGCGAATTTTATTGCGGAATATCATACACGGACTATATACGTTTCGTTTGTTTTTTTTTTGTTTTATTTTTGGTTTTTAATATGTATTTTGCAACTTTCATTTATTTTCAACGCGGTTTAAAGACTTTAGTCTTCTTATTATTTTTGGTTTTTTACTCGCTGTATTATTATTATTGTACACTACAACAAGTTGCGATTTTACGCGCAATTTTATTGCAAACGAGCCCAAAAATGAAGAAATAACGAAATTGTTTTGCTTCATTTGATGAGAACAACTTATTTTTTGCGCGGTAAAAATTTTGTACAATATTTTGCGGCGTATAACACACACAAAGAGAGAGAGAGAGAGAGAGAGAAATGTGCAAGATTCAATTTCGCGTTATGTTTCGCAATTGAAACCGCACAAGTGTACCAGTGTAAGACTTGTGCAAATTACAATTTTTTCACACGATACAAAATAAGATTACATTCGCATCAAATGAAACAATTTCGTTATTCTTTACACTCGAGAACTTGTTTGTAGTAAAATCGCGCGATAGTACGTATATATAAAACGAATAAAAAAAATATATATATATATATATAAATAAAAAGAATTAAGGAAATGTGGCAATAACAAGCTAACGCCAGATGTTCGGGGGTACAATTATTTTATAATTCTAAGATTTTAAAAAAGTTTTAACAAACGTTTCGATTCACTATGGGGATCTTCTTCAAGTGTTTTAACAAAAACTTACTTAAAAATAATGATCTATTCAAGATCACGAAGATTATTTTTTGTAAGTTTTTATTAAAACACTGAAGAAGATCCCGTGGTGGATCGAAACGTTTGTTAAAACTTTTTTAAAATCTTAGAATTACAAAATAATTGTACCCCCGAACATCTGGCGTTAGCTTGTTATTGCCATTTCCTTAATTCTTTTTATTTAAATATTCAACAAGCTGAAAACATATAATTAAAATATATATATATATATATATATATATATATATATATATATTTGTGTGTGTGTGTGTACATATATATACATACACATATACGAAGCCTGTATGTACGCGCGGTTTTAATGTCGCAGAACGCAGAATTGAATTTTGCGGATTTCCTTGTATCTTACATCTCGATTTTTTTTTATTTAAAATAATTACATATATCTTCGTATACTGTATATCTTCGTATATTGTATATCCAGTTTGTGAAAAATCAGTTCATTATTCCCGAGTGAGGTAGATTGTTTTCTCGTCACGTTCGCGCGTCACCGACACACGGTTTGCGTTTCGAGATCCAGATAATTGTCGGGAGTCCGTATCGGGCTTAAAACAAACACAAAAAAAAAAGAAAAAAAAAAGAATTACCACGAGACTACGTTTCGAAACGATTCGTACAATTACTCGGGTCTCAGATACTCGAACTCCGAGGCTGAGCCTACGGTACGTACGTATATTTCATTGAATTCTCTGCTTTTGGTTGCCAATCACACACTATATCGAACGCTCACGCAAGTGATGTCGATTGCAAGCAGCACATCGTGCGATGTAATCTTTTATTATTGCATAGTACCGTGCAATTTGTTACGTCGATTAAATGGCGCTCGCTCCGCGACGAAAATTGAGAATTTGTGCGCGTTGTCTCATTAACAACGGTGCAAAAGAGAGTATAGATCGTTAATTAAAAAAAAAATATGTACATACATATATATATATATATATATTATTGATATAGTTTACACGATAATTGTCAAATATTTAATGCACATAATTACATGACCTTAGCGCAAGTTTACGATCTTATTTTGCAATATTAATTAGTATTGCAATATATTAATATATTAATATTCGAGAATTTTACTGCTGTGTTAAAAAGCCGTTTTACATTATTGTTTATTAAGATATTGATCTCTCGTTTTGCAGGTTCGTTAATTAAAGAGCATCCGCGATTACTTGTTGCGAACAATGTTACGAGGGTGCTCCAATTAATCGAGATCGCTAATTAATGTGGCTCCGGGTCATTAATTTCAAAAAAATCGCTCGTAACCGGTTAAAGTCGTTTCGAAGTTTTTTCGAGAGTCATGAGAAAATTCACTCCGCGATATAAATAACTATATCGATATAAAAGGAAATTGTAAAATGCTGAGAGACAGATCGAGTAGTGCGGGATTTGACGAACGCGCGGCATTGAAGTCACCGACGAGCTAAAACGAGAGATGGAGAGATGAAGTCTTCTGTGTGTTCGACTTCGATTCAAAAGACTCTTCATGAACAAATTGTTTTTTTCAAGTACAATATAGAGATTAATTTCTCCTTTTACAAAAACACGGTTTGATAAGAAATAGTATAATCTGTAAATTATATAAAAGTGCGAAACAAAACACAAAAATTATTTCGCACAATTATTTTATCCCGTAGAGAGTTTTGAATTATGTCAAAAATATAAGTATTACAAGGACCGAGTGACCATGAACAGGTGAACAGTCGATATTATTAACGCACTTAAGAAAGAGAGACGGGTGCCCGTGTTATCTTGTTTTTTTAATGTTTTTTAATTATATGAATATTTATCAGTTCGCACGTTAGAGAGAGGACTTTATACTCTTTCTCTCGAAAAACTCGAATATATATATATATATATATAAAATTATATACATATTATATACATATACATATTATATACATATTATATACATAAAAATAATATACATATAATATACAATAATAAATACAAATTATATACATATTATATACATATATATATATATATATATAAAATTTTAATCCGATAAGAAACGGATCAAAGTATTACGCGTGAGAGAGGAAAGAAGGGAAAAAGGTAACCGAAGAAGAAATTTAGCGAACCGAACGAGAAATATAAAGTGCTTCGTGAAACACACACGAAAGATCCGCAGAGAGCGGGGGAGGATTAGGTAACTCGTGGCAAGGACGTGGCCTAGTCCCCCAACGATAACGATTAGGCCCGATGCGATGTCGGCTCATGCTCCGAGAGAGCAAGAGAGCCCGCGATCCCTCTGCTCTCGTTGGGCGTGGTCCGATTTCTTGCTCAATTTCGCACACCTTCGCGGATGCGAATCGGGTGACCGTCGAAGGTGCAACACACCGTCACCCGGTTACGTCAGTAAGTGTGTGTGTGTGTGTGTTACCGGGCCCTCGCGTGCGTGATGTGGTGGGCCGTGGTACGGAGAGCGGTATAAAAGCCGAAATCTGTCCGTTCGTTGGTATCATTCGCATCACAAACTTGCAAGATCGAACTACCGATCAGCCCGAGCAACAATGGCCTTCAAGGTATTACCGTATTTTTCGTCACGACGTTAAAAAGTTTGATGTGAGCCGAGAAAAAGTTTTAATTTTCAATTCTCGTTTGTTGGGTTAAATTGGTCCCCAGGCCCAAGGGGTTTTATATTGATTCCAGTTGAATTCGTAATTACGCGGTAATTACGACGAAATAATTGAAGAGCGGTAACGCTACTTTATTAGATGTTTTTTTTTTTTTTTTTTACTCTCGTTTCTTTCGGCAATGTCGCTCAAAATAAACCGATGGCGATTTCTGCGATTATAAGTTTCAAGAGCGCGGCGCTTTTGCACCGTTCTAAATAAAAAATCGGCACACATACAAAGCTTTTTTAACATCGACGCTTTTACTCTTGTGTGTATTATTCGCACATCTCTTCTTCTATCGCACCAAGCTGAATTTATTCTCGCACTTTAATTTGAAATTTTATTGCAAAAATTGCAAGTTGATGGAACAAACTTCAACAACTAAAAATTTGTGTTATAAAATAAACTGTTTTTATCGACGTGAGGAACATCTGTGATGTTTTGCGCGCGTGACGATGCTATTTGTAATATTCTCTCTTCTATAAATTTTATATCCTGTTAAATTATTATTTCCAAGTATATTATTAATTTCTAGGTGTTTTTATAACTTTAATGTATATATAATTCTTCATTTTACCAGTTCGTTGCTTTCGCCGCCTTAATCGCAGCCGCCAATGCCGGCGTTCTCGCACCGGCCGCGCCCTTGGCTTACGCGGCTGCGCCCGCGGTTGTTGCCGCCCCCGTTGCCAAGGCCGTTGACGCCGATTTCGATCCCCATCCGCAGTACAGCTACGCGTACGATGTGCACGACAGTTTGACCGGCGACGCCAAGAGCCAGCAGGAGACCCGCGACGGCGACGTCGTTCAGGGCAGCTACTCTCTCTTGGAAGCCGACGGTACCAGACGCATCGTTGACTACACCGCTGATCCAGTTAACGGATTCAACGCGGTAGTGCGCAAAGAGCCTATTGCTGTTGCCGCTGCGCCCCTCGCCGTGAAAACCGTCGCCGCCGCTCCCGTTGCCCACGTAGCGCACGCCGCGCCGCTCGCCTACGCCGCCGCTCCGGTTGCCAAAATCGCCACCCCTCTGGCACACGCTGCTCCTTTTGCCTACGCCGCTCCGGTAGCTAAGTTCGCCGCCGCTCCTGCCATTTCTTACGCCGCGCCGTTCGCCAAGGTCGCCGCCGCTCCCGCCATCTCCTACGCCGCCCCTGCCGCCTACCTCCACTGAATTGTGACCTGATCGCCACTTAGGAATGATATACTTGTCGAATAAATGTGTGTTTTCTTAGCAAGTATATACAAATAGATAATCTTCGTTTTTATTCTTCATCATTATGCGCGGTAATCAAAATGTATCTGAAAAAGTTACAAATTCAAGAATCGTAAAGAAGAAAAAGCGAGAGAACAAGTAGAAAGAAAATAGAGAGAGAGAGAGAAAAGAAGATGATACAATCTTGCTTTTTCGAAGAGAGTCTTGATTGTAACTTTTTCTACAACACCAAGAATGCTCACCTTCATTTAAATGTATATGAGTGTATATTTTTTATTCATTTAGAATAGGATATGCCATAAATTGTGTGTGTCGCCAATCTTGAAATAATCACGTCCTTCGTACAGACTGTATTTTCATTTATAAAAAAAATTCGTTTCCTTCTAGATTTAAGATCTCGTCGATGCGCGACGATTGACCATTGAAAAAAGCTCAAACGAGATATATGTGTCATAGCTTCTATTTTCCTAAAAAATAAAAACAAACAACCGCTGCATTATCTGACAATATATATATATATATAATTCCGAAGAGTGTGTGGCAAATAAAAAAAAAAAAAAAAACATTTCCACGAAAGGCGAACCATATAATTACGTAATTCGGAAAAAAGCGTCGAAACGCGTCGTAATTGCTGTATGATGGTAACATTATTATTGAATTTGACGAAAGAAGGCGCGCAAAGCTCGTTATATGGCTCTCGAAAGGAAACGTCAAAATTTTCGACCGGGCTCAATCGCCCGAAATAAGGTCAGGTACTACCTGCCGCTGTTGTCTCCCGCCTTTCTGAGGCATTACCGCATTACCGATTCACCACGAGCACGTTCGTCAGAGGCACTTTCTCCGAAGAGTGAGCTACGGAGTGCGCTTAATCGTGCGCGGATTGCGTAATATGCGTTAACCACGCCTCGTCCTAACCGGCGAACACGCACCGGCGTGTCTCACGCGCATCGCATGTAACACACGCGCGTAATGCGTAAAAAAGACTCTGCTCCGCTGTGTTGCGTTATTACACCCGGTAATAACTCCGTCCGAACCAGATTCGCGCGCAATGACGTGAATGAACCTTGATCCACTTTCCGGTTTGATATAGATAGATACCAAAACGCGCGCGCGTTTACACACAAGTACCACTCTATTCGGTTAGGTGCTCATCACCGCATTCCCGTGTCTGCGTAGCAATTGATTGAATTTAGGGAAAAGTCCCAAACACGAATCTCTCGGTAGCGCTTTACTCGTGCTGAAAAAAAAAAAACTAAACTATATAATTTACAATATAAATTACAAATATATAAAAATAATACAGTTCAAAAACCTCGATAACTAAAGAATCTCAAGGGAAGAGCTAAAATCTTCGATTTGTTGAGATTTCGACTTATCGAAGATCTTTTTTCCTTTCCGCGAAGCAGAAGGAAACGAACAAAATTTTCGTCTTACAGAGGTTTTCGAGTTATCGAGGTTTGACCGTAATAGTTTGCCTAAAAAGACACGCGCACGTTCGAGTAGCTATTTTAATTATGAATACTATTACGTAATGTGCGCGTTTATATATTCAGACACCAAATACATAAAATTTGCACATTATATCAAACTTATTATATCACCGCTCGCGGGAATAAATGTTGCCAATGAAAGAAGGAAATATGTAATCCGAACGAATTCTGAATTGGATTTTAGAAGAATATATATTTTTCTATCGTGTGTGATATTTGACATAACGCTTTTTATTATAAAAAAAAAACTTATAAATTATGTCTGACAAAATATACTAATACGATTAAAGGCACTTTTTGTAACATTCAACTGTATATACTTCTTATTCTTATTATATAACGCAATAAATAAGAGAGACGCGCGTATTACAGTTAAACTAAACCTGAATAATTCCGTGTTGTTTATATGCGAAACTTATAAAGTCAATACATAAGATCTGAGTTTTGTTTTCTTCGCAAAAATAAAACTCATATATATATATATATATGTAACTTCTATTTTTTCTTTTTGCTTAAGTTTTCACGTTTCTTTTGCACAAACACTAAATATAAAACAAGACAAGATTTGTGATACAACCGAGAAAGCAGTTAACTAAATGCAAAATATATTAATTTGTACATTCGTAGCGTTTTATGTGTAAATCTCTATCTCAGTGTTCTCGCTTGTACTTCAAATGTTGGTCTGTTTTTTTTTTATACTTAGTTTGTATATTTCCCATGTAAACAACATTATTCAATTGCTTTGCGAACAAATTGAACTGAATTTCAAACAAACGGTCTATTGACTTAGGCCTCTTCTTTCTGGTGGTTGCAATCTAGAAAAAAGAAAAAACCAAATAACACGTCCATTCAAAGTGCTTATTCCATTTTCTCGGTAACAGATCGCAAAAAATGTTCACTTACTGGTGAATTGTTACATAATCTTCGGCGAGAATATGTGACGTGTCTAAAGGTGTGAGAAAAGTAAACTGACTTTCCGGATTTGACTTGGTGTGATCCAAAAGAATATCCATTATCACTCGACGATTAACTTTGTCCTGCAATCAAATGTATCAAACAAATCTGCATACATGTTACACAGATAAAAAAAACAAAAACAAAATGTCTTGAAACAAAGAACGTAATCACTTGCCATGAACACGTCGAATTCATCGAGAAAGTAAAACGGCAGCTTGATGCAATCCCAAAGAGCCAGGATAAACGCGACGGTCGAATAAGATCGTTCGCCTCCCGAGAGCGATCTCGCGTCTTTCTGTTTTTCATTGTTTTCAGCGTTACGTGTGGTTACTTGCAAATCGAGTATCTTATGTCTGTGATCTATCAGCACGGTGCCCTGTTTTGCAACAAAAGTATGACGATCAAATGATAAATATCAATGTAACACGCATGATTGAAAACCGCACACACAAAAATTCTCTGATAAATTACCTTATATTGTCTTAGAGAAAGCACGGCCGTAAAGGACTTTTGTATGTAAGCACCATATACCTCTCTCAATTGGTTGAACATCTTCTGTCGATGCTTTACTCGTTTAATGTGTTTCTACGGTATACAAATAATATTAAAAAAAAAAACTTGTAAGATATGTGTACGAGAATGTGCGCGTATAAAACTTAAGATAAAAATCTCACATAAATAAATTTTTTTTTTGTTATTACTTTACTCACCTCACAACTTTGTCTCAATTGAGACGTAAATTCAATGTTTGCGCCAAACTTTTCTTCTTTTTCTTTCAATTCTTGTCGCAAATTGTCCACACAACCGTACTGATGTTCAACCTCGCGAATCTTGTCGCGCAACTCATTCGCTAGATTTTTTATTTGATTCGTTGATCTAAATAACAAGTGCGAAATTAAAACAACGATTACGATAGCAAGATAGAAGTGCACGCAATTTTATTATGTAAAAGATATACAGAGATATCTTTTTGAGATCTAAAATTGTCACCGGTCAACAACCTTGTAGTGTCTATTCTTGAACATTTTGCGGTAGCGTCAGAAATTGCTTTCTTTGTAGCTCTCTCCTGTATTTCAAATTCCCCGGTCGCGCACTGAATAGCTTGTTTTATCTCTTGCAACTTCCGGGTGGCGCGCATACACTCGTGTCGATGTCTCTCCTTTTTTTGCATCAAGTCCTTTATTTGATCCTGTAAAGAAACAATTTATGATCGTTGCATTTTATTATATACGAGATACATGCTAATTATTTTATTATCAAAAAAAAAAAAGGAACACGTACTTTCAGAGGATCAATCACTATGTGTAAATTGTGTCTCAGGTCTCGATAACGCTTGACCTCTACATCGAGAGATTCAACGTTTTTCTGAAGCTCCTTTACGTTCTCAGCTAGCTTCTTTTCCGCAGTATTCTCCGACGCCAATTTCTTTTCCAATTCCGCGGCTTCGTTTCGCTACAATAAATAATAAATCGAATCGTGTAACCACATTGTTGTAGAAAAAAGAAGAGTCTATTGTGTGTGTGTGTGTGTGTCAACGAAAAATTTGTATTACTCACGAAAACATCCGCGGATGTGGCTTCGTTTGAATGGATATCATCTTTCAACACATTGATCGATTCGGTGCAAACCCTTTGTGCTGATTTTAATTTTTGTACCGTCGCAGTTACGTTGTTCAATTCAATGGTAGTCCGATTTACTTTTTCGCATACGGCATTGTACGCCTCAACGGCTTCCTGTCTTTTGAGTTCTGCCATTTGAAGTTCCTCCTTCAGTGTTCTGAGTAAAACGACACGGTAAAAAACCTAATCGTAATTTAAATATTAAAAAAAAAACACACATAAGATTATGTTTGCGTAGCTTACTGCATAGCTTCCGAAGTAGAAACCTGAAGATATTTAGACCGCACATAGCGCTTGCCATAAGTTCTGTAATTCGGAGCGGGAAAAAATAAATCTCCTTTCTGCGTAAATGCTCTTCTGCAATTCTTCGGCACCTGTGACACGTCCGACATGACATCGCAGGCCTCCTGATTCGTTGGTATGAGAAGTACACACTCGATCTCGCGTTGATCGATCAAGCAGTTGGCCACAATAGGATCCTCTATATCCATCGCTTCCAAGAGATTGCAGTATCGCGACGACTGTGTGCAATGGTGTCTGACATCGTGCACCTAAACTCAAATGATTCGCGTTAAAAAAATAACAAAAACTATATATCACGAATTTAAAATATATATATATATATATATATATATATATAATACAATAACACCAGAAACTTCTCACCTTGTAAAAGAATTTGCTAGAAATAATAGCGGGTACATTTTCGTTATAGTAGATTTCTTTCATTATACCGCTCAGAAATTTCGCATCCTGGTTATTATCCACGCAAAATGTAGAAAGAGTACCTTCACCCAGAAAACTTTCCACTGCCGGTGCCCATGCCGCGTCCTTCATCTTTATATAGGCACCTATATAAGTAGTTTTACACAAATAGAAAAAAAAAATTGGATATATATAAATTTTGTGAAAAAATATTCAAAAATTTCAAAATTATAAATTTTGCGTTTACCAATCGGGCCACGTGGTTTCTCCTTGAACCGTCCTTTGTTGTATTCCTCTTCGATTCTCCTCAAGAGGCGTGGTATATTCGGTCCGAACACACTCAGTGCATTATCCTTTTGTTGCTCAAACGCATTTAATTCTCTCTTGACCTTCTCTTTAATTTCATGAATATATAACAGAACATTTGAATATATAACAGAACATTTTTAACTCACGTAGACTTATGCACAAAAAAAAAAAAAAAAAACACGTAAACGTGGTATAAAAATAAAATAATTTTTCATCGTACTTTACCTATGCGATACTTGGAAGTGTCTATTTCATTTTTAGCGGTTTGTACTTCTTGCGAAAGTCGCATCTTATCGGCCTCCAAGTGCATCAATTCGGTCTGTTTTGTTCTCAATGATGCTTCAAGTTCATCCAGTCTTTCCTCCAACTTTGACAGACGTTCCACCATCTCTTTTCTCTTATTATGTTCTTCGTCATTGCAACTGTGCAGAATATACGCAAACAATGTTTATCGTTTAATTAAACATATGATTATAAAATTATGTAAAAACATATCCTCTTTTATACCCTTCCAACTTTTGAATTTCCTTCTTCAACAAATTTATATCCTCTTCCAATCGTTTGATTTTACTCAAAGCACACCGCCACTCGCGTTGTTTGTTAGAATGCGCCTCTTTTGCAGCCGTATGTTTTTGTTTCGCACTATTAAACGCTTCGCCGCTATCTATGGCTTCTTTCTCCGCTTGCTGAATTTTTTCTTTCAATTCTCTATATATTGCAGATAAAAATTATATAAAAATTTTATCTAATCTCGCAATAGTTTTTTATTTATTTAATTACTTCTGCCATATCTAATCTCAATAATCTCACATTAGATTGTACGTTCAAATAGATTTAATTATTAACAGACACACACACACACACACAAAAATATATTTTGAGAATAAATTATGATGATGTTTAATTTAGTTCTTACTTAATTGTTGCATCTACTTCTTCATCTTTTGTCCCCACAGTCAATTCCACATTCTGAAGATCTTTCAAATTACTCTCATACATTTTTAATGTTTCTTGTATCTTGTGAAGCTTGGTTTCCTCTGCAATGGCCTGTAAGCAAAAAATTAAATGTCACTTCTTACGTGCAAAATATATAAAACACAGTATATAAATTGATAAAAATTTACCGTAGCCCAGTAAAGTTCCATTTCAAGATTATTTAATTCGTCACGTGTTTTATCTAGCTTTTCTACCGTTTGTACATTGGTCTTCAATTTCTGTATATCCTTCTTCACTTGCGTCAAAGTCTGGAAAAAGCTGTGCAATAAGCTCATAATTCTTTTACACAAAAATATAAAATTTTTAATATCAAATATATATATATATACCTCGGAATATTGACTCAATTTTTCATATTCCTCTTCGCACATCTCTAGAGCCTCTTTGTAATTGTTTTCTATAGTGTCCAGAAGAGTAGCTTTCATGAACAAATGATATTTTTCATGGGGCTTGGAGGTAATTAGAAATGTTCTTGAAACATCCTGATTCAAAACACAAATCGGATTGTCAATTTGTATATTCATCGTCGCTATAATATTATCCAATTCTTCTCGTTTTGTTGAAATAACCTCACCTGCGAATAACATGCGTTTGTTTTCTTTAGCGATATTGACATTTTAAAATATATTATTAAAAGTCACATTAAATATATGTATCCTTCAAATACCTCTCCAATTCTTAATTTTGTATGACGAGGAATTTATTCCAATCACACGCACAACTACAATTGTATTGCCGTAAGTTTCATATTTATACGCGGTTTCTCCTATGTTAGTCAATGTTATTTCTATCGAAGCTGAAGTTCTCCCTTTCTTTATAAATTCTGAAACATTATTGCAAACAAATAAATTTATTATCAAACTGGACCTACTGAAATATTACAAAAAAACAAAAAATATATATATATATATATGAAAAACAGCTAAGCAATACCTCTGACAGATGTTCCTCTGCTCGTAATATTTGCCCTAGCGCCAAGTCCCACGGTAAGCGCTGTTAATATAGCGCTCTTGCCACTGCCGTTGCGTCCAACAATAAAGTTAACATTTTCATTTAATGTTATCTCCAAAGCTTCGTGACACATAAAGTTACGAATACGAATCTTCTTTACTTTTCCAGCAATGCCCTGAATTAAGTAAAAATTATAACAAATGTCAATAACTTTCATATTGTTTGAATATAAAATTGGTTTCCTAATATTTATTTATATAAATTTGCTAACTGGTTTCAAATTTATTTAACAAATTATGTAATGTCAGAGTTTGCACGTTGCTCAGGAGGAAGACTGCTGATTGCACACGCATACCTCTTCTGAATTAGTTTGCCCGGTCTGCCGGAGACGTTTCGTCTGAGGCTCGTCAGAACTGTTCGAGGCTTTTTTCTTTCGACTTTTCTCGTTATTTTCCATGTCCCAAGCGTTTGCCGCGTTAATCGACAGTTCATTTAAACAAACGGAGAGATCTACGTGCGCGTTCAAATTCTGTTATGTTGCTGCGACGCCAGTCCCCGAATGTTGTCGTTTTCACACACACACAGCTCGAGATTTTTCACCCACACTGGTCTCCGCTCTGGACGACAATAGGTTCAAATGTTTACACAAGCAAAATCGTGAAAAAAACCAAGAGAATTGTTTTTTTTGATCAAACCGCTCGATTCTTTTGTTCGTAGATCACGTCTCACGGTCTCTCAAACAGAAATCTCCGCGAGAGAAGATCGTTCCTGTCCGTGCACGCCTGTTCGTTCCCGCCAGATTGATAGCGATTGGTTTTCACACGTTCCGCATAATGCCTATGTCACACTACGGATTGGGATTGGATTGAAATTTGACCAATCAGAAGAAAGAAAACCTAATCCCAAGTTTAGTGATCTTCGCTCTGATTGGCCAAATTGCAATCCAATCTCAATCCTAATTCGTAGTGTGACATAGGCTTAAGTGGGTGCGTTCAGACAACTCAACACAGTTGCACAACGGTTGAGAGATAATCACTTCTGATTGGATCGTACTTTTGGAACCCCAGCAGATTTTGAAGAATAGTCCTATTATAAGTGACGATCTCTCAACCGTTGAGTTGTCTGAACGCACCCAATATATTTAATTTGTCGTACGACAAATGTAATACTAACCTGTGACATCCCATCTAGGCTGTGTTCGTTTTTTATTGACAGTACCACTGAAAATCTATAGATTCACGTCGCACGTATTATAGATTTTTCATTACCGCCAGTAACAACCGAGACAGAGGTACGTTCAAAAATGGGTGCGTTCAGACAACTCAACGGTTGAGAGATCATCGCTTACGATAGGACTATTCTTCAAAATCTGCAGCGGTTCCAAAAGTATGATCCAATCAGAAGTGATTATCTCTCAACCGTTGTGCAACTGTTGAGTGTTGTCTGAACTCACCCAATCTTACTGTGTCGCTACTGAAAGTTTCCCCAGAAAGTGAGCGTTCTCGATTGGTCGGTGAAGAATGATCTCACCCCCGTCTCTTGCGAATCTTCCTTTATGTTTGCGGTCAGGCGCAACGCGTCCTTCCCGCAACAAGGAGCGAAAACTAGGTTAGACGAGATTTTTCAACCGATTCTTTCGTATTTTTACAGCTCGATGTAATCATAGAAAAAAAAAAAAAAAATCAAATCGACCGATTCTTTCGACGCGGATATCGTTTTCGGTCGTCACTTTCTGATCTTTTCACGCGCAATCGTCGCGTTATTCTGTTTCCAAGCCAATTGCGTACTTAAACAAAATTGTTTTTTTTTTTTTTTAATTTGTATACTGCGCAAGATATATATGTATCTTTATCGTGTTTTTTAATTATTATACTTTTGCATTGTATTATTACTTTGCATCTGTCCTCTTTCGTGAGACAGCAAAATTTCAAGGCTGTGTCGTTTTACATGCGCATATATAAAGCTGTCAATCGAAGGTCGAGTTTGCGTCAGACAGTGACGTGATTGTTCATTGTTGCGTTTGTGTTTTGTATACTCAACGCACGTTTTGTAGCAAACAGTATTGTTTCGCAACAATATGCGAAATATTAAATAAACCAAAGTTTTATATGCGTATATATATATATATATACACATAAAACTTTTGTATATATATATATCTATATATATACAAT